TTTAGGTATACATAGCAATAATATACATAAATACACAGCATTACACACATAAAAAACTGGAAACTGAAGAACAATTAGACCTAGATACTTCATAATTTTTAAAAAATAGAATATTATTCTAGCAAAAATTGGGGATTCAATAAAAAGATTGCACACAAAATGTCAACTAACTAAAAATTAATATACGAAATCATCATAATCATTCGATCCTTATTTAGATAAGAAAAATTTTTTAGAGCAAATAGGAAACCAAAAAGTAAAGAAATCCAAGATGGTAGAACTGGATGATTTATCAAACAAATTAAATTTCACAACCTTTTTTTTTCTTCAGAAATCGACTTTCAATGATTTTTTTCCGAACATAGAGATACAAAAAAGGGAAATTGTCATAAAAGCCTTTAAGTTTTCCAAAAAATGTCGGTTTTACCCTTGGATGAGTTTTTGGGGTATTAAAGCCGGATACTTTCACTAAATGAATCAAATATCTCATTTAACAGGTTGGACCCTTAGTAGCCGGTTACCCATGTGCTGATTTGGCATTTAATTGAGGAGTTGGCACATCCGTTACATCTGTTACGTCCGTTTACTCCTTATCTCAACCTTTTGCACGTAAAAGTATACTTTCTCAGAATCGTTACATCATTCATCGCAAAATTAGGGATTTTTCAAGAAGATTAGGTTATTGGAGAGTCGATTTCACATGGTATGTGTAATTTCTTTGAAGATTGTGTTATTACAGTTCTTTGTTCTTCAGAGGTTAACAAATAACGATAATGTGTGTTTTTTCAGGTTGTTATGATGGATTGGGATTCAGAAGACAAAGGCAACACATACCCATTTTTTGGTTTACGCGATCCTTTCTCTGGTCATAATGAGATGGATTTTGAGCTTCATGGCATCTACATGGATCATGAACCAGACGAAGAGTTCATTACTCCACTAGACAAGTGTAAGGATACATTTCTTAATGTGTTACTAACTGATGAAATTATTAGAAACTCTAGTTTGACTGATGATGTAAGAGCACAAGTGTATCATGGTCGTGACTTACAAAGTGATGAAGACGAAGAAGAGCAAGAACAGGTGATAAACAAGTACATAATACATGATCCAAAAACAAGATGGGATAAAATGGAACCAAAACTTGGTGACATGTTTGAGAATGTTACACAACTGAAGTTTTGTATTCAAAACTACGCAGTCCACAATGGGTATCAATTCTACTTTGAGAAGGGTGACAGTACAAGAATACTTGTAAGATGTGGGAAAACAAATGAGGATAATGGTTGCCCTTTCAGACGGTATGCCTCATGGATGTTCAATGAAAGATCTATTCAAATCAAGACTTTAGAAGCTACTCATGTTTGTGGTAGGAAGTTCAAACTTGGCTCTATGGTTACTCCTGAATGGATAGGTAGACACTACATAACTGAAATTGCAAATAAACCTAAGGTGAAGCTTAAAGAGATGATTACTGACATCAGACAAAGGTTTAGGTGTGCTATGTCTATAGGCCAATGTCGTAGGGCCAAGAAGTGGGCCAAGGAGCTAATTGAAGGTAAATTAACTGAACATTATGCCAGAATATGGGATTATGCACAAGAGTTGTTAAGATCCAATCCAGGCTCTACATGTAAGGTGTGTGTAACTGTCAATCCAGATGGATAAACTATTTTCATAAGTTTTATATTGGTTTCAAAGCTATATGTGAAGGCTGGAAAAGAGGGTGTAGAAGAGTTATTGGTTTGGATGGGTGCTTTCTTAAGGGAGCAGTAAAGGGTGAGTGGTTGACAGCCATGGGTACATATGCCAATAATCAGGTCTATCCAATTGCTTGGGCTGTTGTGGATGTTGAGAATAAGGCTAACTGGACATGGCTCCTTGAGCTTCTAAGGGATGATTTAGATCTTGATAGTGGAAGAGGTTTGGTAGTGATATCAGATCAACACAAGGTAAAATTTTACATACTTGTCCTCTACTTAATTGCATAGTTATCTTATTACATATTTCTCCTCTATTAAACTAATTAAATGATTGTCTTGTAGGGTCTGCTTGAATCTGTGAAAGATATACTGCCTCATGTTGAACACATGAATTGTGCTAGGCACATTTATGCCAACTTTAGAAAGGCTTTCACAGGTTTGGAATATAGGAAGTTGTTTTGGGCTGCCTCTATGAGTTGCACACAAGGTGACTTCAAGAGGCATATGGAAAGCATCAAGAAATTGAACCCTTCTGCATATGAATACTTGATGTCAAAGCAACCAGAAACATGGTGTAGAGCCTATTTTGGATCAGGCTATGCATGTGAAGCAGATGAGAATGGGATCTCAGAGTGCTTTAACTCAATAATATTGGATGCTAAGAAAAAAACCTTTGATCACCATGCTTGAAGAGATATGGATTTATATCATGGACAGGTTTGCTTACATGAATGACGAAAGTGAAAAGTGGAATTCAAATGTTTGTCAAAAAATTTTGAAATAATTGAATAGATTTGGGAAAAATATGAGGTATTATCTTATGCTTTCTAAAACTTGTCTTAATCATTAATTATTGTTACTAACTAGATACTTGATTGTAGGTTATGGGGAATAATTCATAGTCAAGAGCATGTGTTTGAGGCCAGAAGAGGGTGTGACCGTTATAGGGTGGACTTAGATGATATAACTTGTTCATGTATGTGACATCCCCTAATTTCTCGGCCAGAAAAGACCGATTTAATTTATGCTTTTAAAACAAAGTCAGAGAAATATTTTTAAAAGATGTTGCGGAATTGGTCCCCAAAACAAAACATGATAAAAGTTTATCAAAACCTTTCTTTAAGAAAGTATATAT